CCTCCTCCTCCTCCTCCTCATTATTATTATTATTATTATTATTATTATTATTATTATTATTTATTGCTTTATCTCATTCCAAAAAATGCTTAAGAATGTTAAAAGAGCCATGCTGGATTGTGCCAGCATTTTCTGTCACACAATGGTTATCTGAATGTATTTGACACGCTCACAAATCTGGACTGGGTAGCAAGAGCCCCCTTCCACTATCACTTCCCATTAACAAGGGTTTAACACATGCTGTCTAAGATTCAGGAGTTAGTAAAAACTAGCTCCTGAATCAAGTTAATATCTACTGATTGTCTGAAAATGATCCTGTCCAGTCCCCTTTGGAAATCATCCAAATTGGCTGCCAGTACTACAATTGTTGTCAACAAATTCCTCAGTTTGCATTTCCTTTTGTTCTTAAATCTCCCTGCATTTAATTTCAATGGATGACATCAAGTTCTAACACTATGAGAGACAAAAATTTTTTGCTCATCATGTTATCTATGTCATATGTGAATTGATTCCAAAAGGAAATGTACACACAAGTTTACACTCTTAAGCCTATCTACAAAATAGGATGCTTCAACTACTTCTTCTCCTTGTAGAGAGTAGTGATAGTAGACTTTCTTCAGGTGCTGCAAGCTACAAATTAAATATAAAATAGTTCTTGCCAAAAGCATATTCTGCAAAATCTATAAAGCTTTACTGCAGTGTTTCCCTGCTGTGGCAATTTCCAGGTGTATGGACTTAAAATCCCAGAATTTCAGTTAGCATGCCATTGATAAGAATCCTGGGAATTGAAGTCCATACACCTGAAAGTTGTCAAGATTGAGAAACAACTGCTTTAGTGTATGCCTTACTGGCACTCAGGGAAACTAAGAGTTTTTTCTTACTTCAATGGATCCTGGATAGGAATATCCTACTGTCACATAGAACCTATTCTTTCTGAAATGCTCACGAAGATTACTAGGCTATATACAGGTGCATATAAAGCCCACTGTGTGGATAAATATAATAGGAGACATGGATGTTTGATCTGCAGGCATATCCCTGGAATTACTGGACTTGGTGTTTCATCTCTAAAAAGTACCATGGATTTTGTTTCTTTAATCTTACAGTTGCATAGGTTCTGTGTGTCAAAGCAGGTTTTTTGGTTTAAGAACAATCTGTTGGCTTATTTTATTAAGAGTACGTGTTCTGGTTTTAAACAACAAAACAGGCAAACTAAGTTGCAAGCTCATTTTAAAATTTCTAATAAAGATTTTACCCTTTAATTCCCTGTTTCAAAAAATAAATGTATTTTAATAAAAATTCATTTGGTTATACAGAAAAGCATCTCTAATCAGCTATACTGAGCTGCAAGTAAGCCATTTTATAGAAATAGTCCCATCTACTAAATTTATAATGAAAATCTATATGACCATAGTCTGTCTCTGCAAGGCTGTGTTAAATGATGAATCAGGTTCCAGTGCTAGCAATAAGTATTACCATATTTTCCGTTAATAAGACGCCCCCATGTATAAGACGATC